ACACACAGACACACAGAATTCACGAGTGATTCCCTTTGCTGTGCTTCTAATTGTGTTTTTCTCTGCAGCCCAGAGCCCTTCAGTAGCAGAGACTTTGCACCCAGCCTTCACAGGAGTTCAGCAGTATGCAGGTACCAGCTTCCCTTGTCTCCCTCAGGCCCTTGTGTGGCTGACCAGATCCTCAGGTAAATGGTTTGTTCTGTCTCCTTGGGCTACAGCTGTGTATCCAACCACCACCATCACCCCCATTGCACAGAGCATCCCTCAGCAGCCTCCCATCCTGCAGCAGCAGCAGCGAGAAGGTGAGGAGCAGAGTGGGAATAGGGGTGTCCAGTGGCATGGGTGGGATTTGTGGAGCTCATCTTCTGTACAACAGAGCCAATGGAGAGGAGATAGCACTGATTTTTGTCCACTGATCTTTAATGCTGGGGCTGGGGTATGGAAACCACCACATGTCTGCAGTGAGTGGGCTGGGAAGGATCGCAGGATGTCTCCTGACCTCATGTCTGGCCAGATGCTGCCAGGTGCAGATGGGCAGTAGGCCCTGGAACACCTTTCATGCCAAAGGGGATGAGAGTCAGCACCTTCCCAGGGGCAAAGAGCGCTCATCCCCTCTTTGCTGGTGCCAGAACCACAGTGGAAACAGTCAAACCAGCCTCTGCAATGTGCTCTCCTCTCTTTTCAGCCTTCATAGCCTACTGAATTTATTTTCAACTTACTTCAAAACTGGCTTGAATAGAATTTGGAGGCAAAGGCATTCTGTCTCTGCACCTGATGGGTAGAAAAAGTGTCAGCAAGGGAGCAGCTTCTTGTGCTCCTAAGGAGTAAGTGAAGGAGTGGACAGGACCAGGTCAGCCCATAAATTGGATGTGTGGCAGTCCAGGAGGTTTCCAGTTATGGCTGTGGCTTCTGGACTGAAGGAGACGCTTCAGGGAGTGCTACAGCAGCAGCTTTCACACAGCAGTGTCTGCCACTCTCCTAGGACTGGGACAGCTGTGAGCTCTCACCTCAGCTGATTTCCTTCCAGCAAAACAGCACCCAGACACTCACAGAGCTGGCTGTGTCCAGCACCCTGTGTAGGAAGTAGGCAAACTTTGAAAGAGAATCTGCTCTCCAGAAACTCTAGTTTTGTATAAAGTATCCCAGTTGCTCTTTGAGAGCCCTCAGATCCCTTGATGGACCAGTGACAGGGACAAGCAAGGGGAGGCAGAGCAGAAGAAGGCAGTGCTAGGGCTCTCCTCCAGTGCTGTGCTGTGAGTTGAGCCCATTTCTCTTCCCCTGCTCTTTGGGGGCTTTCTGTTTTGTCCTTCTCCATCATCCCCATACCTGCAGGTCCTGAAGGCTGCAATCTCTTCATCTACCATCTCCCCCAGGAGTTTGGAGACAACGAGCTGATGCAGATGTTCCTGCCCTTTGGCAATATCATCTCCTCAAAGGTGTTCATGGATCGTGCCACCAACCAGAGCAAGTGTTTTGGTAAGTGCAGACAAGGGAGGCATGATCAATAATAATGACACTGATAGTGGACATGGCACCAACAGTGCCACTGTCATCCATCCTGTGTCCTTCCTGCAGGTTTTGTGAGCTTTGACAACCCCTCCAGTGCACAGACTGCTATCCAGGCCATGAATGGCTTCCAGATTGGCATGAAACGCTTGAAGGTCCAGTTAAAACGGCCCAAGGATGCCAACCATCCCTACTGACAGCAGTGAGCACGCAGGAGTCACTTCTGCAGCACAGGTAAACTGCCCCAGCAGGGCACAGCTCTGATCAGGGACCCGCTGCTCCCTGCAGACTGGGAGGCCAGGAGTGGAGGCAGTGACACAGCTGGTGGGGCAGAGGCTTCACCTGAGATGGGCGACCAGAGCAGGCCTGGAGATGATGGCCAGGTTCAACCATCAGCAGGCAAATCTGTGGCAATGGGGCAAGCCCAAAGCCAAGCCAGGGAGGGTTAGGGTCGGGTCTGGTGAAGGTGAACAGGGTCAGACAGAGTCCAGATTGCCAGGCAGGTCTATAATGACAACAGTAAACATTGAGGTGGGAAGCCAGTCCAGGGGTTAGAGCGCAGGTAGTGAGATCCATGGACAGGACAGATCCGTGGACAGGTGGAGACTGGCACTTGCACACTGTGCATCAGACAAAGGCTGATGGCACAGAGCTGTAAGGAGACTCCTGGAGCTGTGGGCAGAGTGTGGACAGACAGTGCAGGTGTCTGGTCAAGTTCATCAAGGCCTGTGAGTGCCCTCAGGGCCCTGACAGGCAGACGGTTCCAATGGCCTGTTTGTCATCCAAGGAAGGTTTTACTCTGCTGTCTGGCTGTTCCCAAAAATCTTTTGACTGCCTAAAAAGGTATTAAACCCCAGTAGTTTTCAGCTGTTACATGGGCCCAGGAGTTAGTCTGCAAACAATGCTTTCTGGGGTAACAAAAAATAATCCCGTGATTCACAGGGATCACAGAAAAGCAGAGAAAAGGTGAGACCCTTGAAGGGCTGCTGTCCAAGAGGCAGCTCCTGCCAGCCTGCAGATGGGGAGCAAGTGAGGGCTGATATGATTTGGGTCAGAGTCCTCCATGTTTAAGCAGCAGCAGCAGCTCAAAGCCTGAGGTTTGCACAGATGTCTTCCTAACCTCCCAATTCCCTCCCTCCTCCATTTCTGTTCAGGTGAAGGGAAAGTCCAGAGGAAGAATTTCTGCTTCAGGTTGATTTTCAGAGAGGCCAGTAAATTTATCGACTCTTTTGACACCACCCCTTTCCTTCCTCGGCTTCCCACCTTACCCACCCCATCTTCCTCCTCCCCTCCTCTCCAAGACATGCAATTAAAGAGAAGGCTCAATATCTGCCCAGGAGGAAGATTCTTGCCACGCCTGGACTCGCATTTTTGCTGCTAACGTGGTGCAAAGCAAAGGGACCAGCAAACCAGCAGCCCCTGGGACACGGAGCTCTTCCTCTCGGGGTGTGGCTGGAGAACATGGACCAAGCAAACCCATGGTGTGTCTCTAGGTTACTGCAGTGATGTGTGGAAATTTACTTCCGTCCCTCCCTCCCTCCTGCTCTGTTTCTGGCCCTTTCATAGATAACTATAAATATATACAGTCTCTATTTTTTTTTTAAACTAGCTCACAGGACCAAACTTTTCCATTCAGAGACTGATTGCTTGCAAGAGGTATTGGAAATTAGGGGTTTGCCTTTGCAACAGTGTCTTCTCAGCACGCACTGCAGATAGGCCTGAACATTTTGGAGAGAGGGAGCTGGGGGTGGGTTGGGGAGAGAGAGAGCGAGCGAGCACATCTCTCTGCTCAACACGAGCAAGAAGAAGGAGAAATACATTCCTCCAGGATTAGGGCACAGTCAAGCTGCTCAGCTTGAGTCACTCATCCACCTTAGCACCAGCCTGGTTTAGGATCTGGAGAGCTCTGTCTTACCTTTCCAAGGGCTTCTGCAGACAAAGCTCCTGGGATGTGGTGCCAGCCCCTACCCTGAGCGCTCCGTGATTAGGCTGAAAGCACAGGAAACCAGTCCCCTTACTTAGAGGAACTGCACTGCCTCCCCACACATGGCACAGATCCGTGTTTCACAGCTCTCCATGGCAACTGCATTTTCTTGATGAAGGCAGGAGTAGATGAGGGAGTGTGAGCAGATGCAATCTCCAGCGCAGCTAGAGAAGGCTCCCAGGGGCTGCACACTGCCTCCCTGTGTTGGATACCAGCACTGGAGAGTGGGCAGTTCTCCTTCCAGATGACACAGGACATTTGCTCCCTCTGAATTCAGCAGGAGGACTCTCCTCGTGCACCCGCTGCAAAGCTTTCTCCAGCAGATGCAAGGAAAATAGGAAGAAAGAAGGTTCCATTCTGGAATTTTCCCCCTCAGCACCCCCTCCAAGAGACAGAGTCTACATTATGCAGCATATACATATATATACACATATATATGTGTAGGGACAGCTCTATACACTATATACACAAAGTCTAAAGCACAGAATGTAGTTCAGAACTGGATTTTAAAAAGATCCCCTGGGAGTGGGGGATGTGTGTCATCCTGACAAGGCACATCCCTTGAACAGTTTGGAACAGTCTCTTCGAGTTTCTACAAAAGTAAGGAAAGGAAAGCAAGGCAGAACAGACCAACAAACCCCAGAGTGATTAGGAATGAACGATTTCAATATTCCAGAGTTTGATAAGGTACCACAAACATTGGAGTGTGTGTGAGGGTGTGTGAGCACATTGAAATAGGGACAAGAGAGTTGGTGGGGCAAAGTTGGTGCAATTGATACTGAAGTGAGCTATGGGGATTTTGGAGATTCTCAGCCAACTCTCATTCTCCTCCAGTTTGCCCTTTGTTCAGGTGTTTGTGGCACAGTCCTTTAAGTACCTTCAGATCTCCTCAACCACCCTTCTGTGTCTGACGCTGAGAGTTTATGAGAGGTGAATGAAGCTGTGAGAGTCTGTGTGTTTCTATAGTCCATGTTTACTTATTGTAAATACCATTTTTATACTTAACATCTATTATGTATGTGATTTGTATAATGTACTTTATTTCTGCTACAAGTAATTTCATGAAGTTTAAACTTAGTCTAATTTTGAACAAAACAAAAAAAAAAAAGAAAAAATATGAACAAATGCAAAATGGGAAAAAAAGGACTTTGGGAATCCTAGGTCAAGCTGGTTTAAAACAAGCATTTACAGTTTCTTCCATCACAGTTACTGATGTGACTGTACAATGTTACAGGTGCGATACAAGCTTTGTCAATGTCAAATTCCTCACTCTGGTCAAAAAAAAAATCCTAAATTTATTTAATAAAAGTTTTACTTGCTAAGTAACTGGGGCTCTCCTTCATGTTGTTTGTTGCACCTACTTTTAGGTAATGCTTACACTTGAAGACATTGCCAAAGCCCTGTGCTAATTTAACAGGTCACATGGGGTCAGCAAACAGACCTTGGCCCACAGAATCCGGGGGACCAATATTTCTTCACAGAGGAAGCATCAGCACATAACACCAACACGTTAAAAACTTGTTTATTATAAAATAGAGATAAAAATTCTACTTAGAGGAAGCAAGGGGAATCTAAAATGAAGTAGTGGAGGAGGATATCCCAGGAATGTACAGCCATTCCAGGACATCCTGTGCAGACAGACAGGGAGGGGTTAAAGCTGGGGCTGAGCAAAGGCTGGATGCAGTCAAAGGAGACAGGTGAGGCTGAAGGAGGAGGGGAGATGGGAGGAGGGCTAAGGCAGAGTGAACAACGGGAAAGGTCTCTGACTGATGGGTAGCAGCAGCAGAACCGTGGTTGAAGCACGATGACAGACCATGAGTCTGTTAGGAAAAGGGGACTTTGCCACCACTGCTGCCCTGCTCCTGCTTGACACCAGTGGTTGAGTGGGATGCTTAGTGGGACGGCAGGAATGTGATTAGAAGGGCTATAGGATGAGACTGGGCACCCCTCAGGGACTGCTGTAGTTATAGAAAGACCGTAGCACGCTGTTCCCGCTGCTGGGGAACAGAGCCCAGAGGCAGCGGAGCTGCTGCAGCCACCGCGGGTAGAAAATCTCGTGCGCCCGGGTGGCTCCGCCCCGGACGATGGCGAGCGCGGCCTCGGGAGCGGGGGAGGCTCTGAGCTGCACTTTGCCCCTGCAAGGCAACGGGCACAGGGTCACTCCAAGCCAGGCAGCCCCTGCTGGGGTTCGAGCTGGGCACGCTGACCCCACAGGGCTGTGCCTGCTCCCGTTCCATAATGAACAACCCCTGTGGTGTGCCCAGGCAGGTTCGCTCTCCCCAGGCAGATGCACACACCCTCTTAGAGAGAGCTGCTGTGCATACTTTGGCATGTTTTCTAGAAGAGATGCATTCCTGCGGACAAACACATACCTGGTGCACTCCAATGCTGACTCAGTATCAATCAGGCCCAGGATGCAGAGTGTGACAGACACATCTTTCTTCTGCATGATGAGCTCATGGCGCAGTGAACTGAAAAATCCATCCAGTGCAAACTTGGTGGCAGAGTAAGAAGTGGTGAATGGAGTGGGGATTTTCCCTGAAAGGGAAAAGAAAGAATGGAAAACCCCAGGAAACTGGGTGTAAGGAGGATCCATGGAGAGGGAATCTGGGAGAAGATGCAGGCTTTGTCATACGATATCAGCTCATGTTCTGTTCAGGTGAGTCTCCCTTTATGTAAGTATATTAGAATACTATTACTATATTATTAAGTATTTATTATAATATTATTATATACTGTTAAAAGCACAGTTTGAAAATGTGTTTAGGAGTTGAACAATAGAGAAATATGAACAGTACTGGGAATCATTTTTTCCACAAGGCCAAGTAATTTTTTCCACTTACTCCAGGTAAAATCACCAACCTGTGAGGGAAGAAACAACCACCAGAGCACCTCTGTTCTTCTCCAGGGTGGGAAGAGCTGCTGTTGCAAGAGCCACATAACTAAAAAAATTCACCTGGAATAATAAATGTAGATATTTATTATTAAGAAGCAAGAGGGTTTGGAAGCATGAACCAAGAAAGTCAGTAGAGTGATCAGAAATGGAAATGAGCATGTTTTGGAATTGCCTTTTCAAACATCAAATGAGAAAAATCATCTCTATAGATGGGGACAAGCATTGCATCCATGAGTTTCAGATTCCAGAAGAAGATCCAGAGCAAAGGTTATGCCTGGGCTTTAACATACAGATTTCCTGACAAGATAAAATTAGCTGTCCCTGCTTTTCCTTTATGCTATTCTTCACTCTGCAATCCCTACCAAAGACACCAGCCTCAGTTTGCTACGTTTCTTGTAAGTTTCCTTTTAAGTTTCTCTTGATTTAGCTCAGACTACAATGAGGCACAAAATTCAGCATCTCTTCAGAGCTTAACTGCTCTCTTAAGAATTTCTTACCTATGTTCCTATGTTCCCACTCTCTAGCAAAAAGACTCCTTCCAAAATGAAATAGAAACTAGTATGACCCACCTGAATGAAGAAGACTGAATCAAGAAAACAGCTCTTCATTTCCATAGCCCCAAAACCTGGCACCAGGGTGATTCTACAGGAAAAGTCTAAACCTGTTAACAGAGACTCAAATGGCAGACACCATTTCAAACAACTTTGTGTTCTGCAATTGTGTACATGCCATAGACTAGTAGGAAATGCTGGCTGCTGACTTAGAGACCTTCCTGAACTAAACACAACTGCCCAGAACTACCCATCAATCCCAAACTCCTGGGCTAAAGGGAGGTAGGAAGGACAGAAGGAAGAAGTCTGAAGTTCTTCCCAAACATTCCTCTTCACAAATGTGCAACATCTGAGCAAAACACCTCTCTAGCAACAAAGCCTCCAAACTGCTTGTCTCAGCCACTGCCACAGATGTGGATTTGCCTTGGAGCTTCCCAAAGCTGCTGCAGAAAAAGCCAGGCTCACCCAGTTCCAGGTGAGCTGGGAAGCCTCACCTGCATGAGCCAGCGGGTGTATTCCACATCTCCAGCCCACTCCTGGAAGCGGTTGGTGCCGGCGTGGTTCAACACGAGGTAGTCCAGGCCCCCTTGGACAACAGAAAAAGCAGTCACACAAGGGGCCCATCCCCTGACCATCAACCAGGGAGCTCAGGAATGCCAGGAGGGCTCAACCACTCCCTCAGAAGGCTGGAAGTGCTTTACCCTGAAGACAGATTAAATATGCCCACCTGGGAGCAGCTTTGACTGCTCCTCAGGAATAGAACTGAAAGGAAAACTGTTTGATTTTAACAATAACTTCCTGAAATGATGTTTTGGCATGATTCAGGCTCAGAACTTAGTTCTGGAGGTACATCTACGTCCTTAACACCTTTCTCAGTTGAAGGAACTGAAGCAGGAAGCTCCTAGAATGAGAATTGTGCATACACCTGAAAGCCAAAGAGATGCTCAGGATGCTTACCCAGCTTTTGGACAGCAAATTGAACCACCTTTTCAGGCTCTGAAGGGGAAGACATATCTGCAGCGATATAAAATATTTTCTTTGCTCCAAGTGTCAGGCATTTCTCCACCACCTTGAAAAAGAATACATCCCAAAGATTAAAATATTTGGAAAAAGATTAAGGGAAAAGGGCACCATAAAGCACATACAACAGTCAGTGAGAGTTCTGAACAGAGACACACTTTAATTTAAATTTTACTGCTGTTTGGGGCACGGAGAGCTCATTCTGCATCCAGACTTTGAATCTGCATCCTGCAAAGAGTTACCTCTATTTAACTGTCTGCTTAAATGATCTACTTTGGGACAGGATCAATATTCACTTGAAAAAAACCCAGTCTTCTTCAGGAGAAATCTTCTGGAACAGGGGTTATGCTTTACATTAAGTTCTTCTCTTTTTTCCAAAATAACTGGAAAATAATTAATCTTTCATAATTCCTTTGCTATGCTGAGTGTGTGAATGTGCTTGGCATTATTTTAGCTATTTGCTGAAATAATGCCTTCCAGGCATTAGGAACTATTATTACACTCACTGTCCCCAAGTCACCCTTTGCACCATTTCACAGTGAAGAACCTTCCTTGGAAGTCACACATCTCCACAAGTAAAGAGTTACCCCTTTCTAAATATTTCCCATTTCATAAAGATGGAGTCTCATCTGCTGGAGTTTATCAAAAAGCTACAAAAAGTCTTGAGTTTTTAACAAAACAGCTACAAATAGAACAATTTGGACTCTGAAAATCTGGACAATATTGCACAAGAATTGTAGTTCATGGAGTATCTCAAATTGAAGAGGACCCATATGGATCATCAAATCCAAATCCATGCTCCTCACAGGACTCCCTCAAACCAAACTTTATCATTAAGGATGTGGCTCAGATATTCCTTGAATTCTGACAGGCTTGGTGCCATGACCACTGCTCCCTGGGGAACTTACTCCAGGGATTGATCATCCTCACAGTGGAGAACATTTTCCTAATGTCCAGCCTGAACTTTCCCTGATGAAGCTTCACACCATCCCCTCATATAAATAAATGTTCAGGCAGTCAAAAGTTCAGGCATTGTATTTGCATCTTCTTGTACAGGCCAACTTCTCTTCTGGGTTTATGCTTAACAGTTCTGAAGGAAAATCTATCATGCTGACAACTAATTTTTTTGTTGGCTTAGTAAAAGCCCGAATCTCTCATGTCTCCCCCCATACAAGGATGAGGTTCTTACCTTCTGCAGCACAGCTTCCCTTATGTCAGTCAACACAATTTCAGCCCCAAATCTGGCATAATGATATGCTATCTGCTCTCCAATCCCAGCACTGGCTCCAGTTACGAGAACACGGGCACCAGACAGGCTCTCTTTTTTATGGGAAAGAGAATAAAAGATACAGAAGTAAGTGAAGAAAGAGCAGACGAGCTGCCTTAAATACTACTGGAGCTTTAAAGAAGAAAGATGCACCTAAGTGCTCAAAATTCCTGGTGCTTCTCCAAAACTAGAAGAGGCAGGACTGGTGATGCAATGACATGATGATACCAGGTAGCTGTGCCACAGGGCCTAGCCTGGGTTGCTAGAACAAAATCTTTCAAGAACCAAGTGGTTTTTCACCTTCTGAGAAGCTGTACAACATAAACCAGAAACCAGGCTATGTGCTCTCTGCATATCATTTACTCATCAGCCTGGAGACACATCAGCCCTCTTGTGCCAGGCACTGCACACCTACAGAAATGGTTCTTGACACCATGGAATTTACAACCAAAACATAAAAAGAGCAAGGCAGTAGCAAAGTGTCATTTTTCTCCCCATAGAGACAACAGGATCCCTGCTCTTAGACCATTTTGTCTTCCTCTTTGTTTCAAGTTTCTCTTTGTTTCTGGGAATGAAACATTGCTTTGGGGCAACCAACTTTAGTAAGACTACGGGTAGGAATGAGACCATCAGTCAAAGTTTGGAAATTAAACCTCTTCCCTTGTGTAACTTTTATTTCAGCTTGGTGAGCCTACCTGGGTTGAAGTCATCTTTCCAGAAGAAAGTTATGAGCCTAGCTACAGCCCCTGTAGCACAAAGCACTTTTCCAATTGGCTTCATATCCCTCAAAGCTGTGAGGAACAAAGTGAAGTCTTGAAGCTGAGCACTTCAGCCAAAATAATAATGTGTTCTTCTTCCTCTGATTCCTGGAGCCGCCCTGGGAGAGACACGTAAAGGGTTTTGTAGAACCAGAGCCCACCTGAGGGGAAGGATCTTTCACCGGCAATTCCCACAGCGCTCTGCACTCAGAGCCAGCCTCCACACACCGCCAGACCACAGGAGAGAAAAACCCCCTGAATTTAGTGTCTAATCTTAGAGAACTCTTAATTCATTAAAGACTGATGACATCTGGCAGCAGTGACCCCAAAGCAGCCGGATCTCGGGAGGGAGGCGGCGGCAGAGCCCACAGGACGGAGCCTTGTCTGGAGAAGAGGAGCAGCGGGCTGAGCTGCTCCGCCACCACGCTGCGACACAGCGCGACAGAACGGGCGGCGGGGACAGCGCCACAAAGGCGCAGGAGCCGCGCTTGGCCCCTTCACACCCTCAGCCCTGCCCGTCCCCTCACGCCCCGCAAACCCTCGGCTCGGCCGTGCCCGTCCCCTCACACCCCTCAGCCCTGCCCGGCCCCTCACGCCCCTCAGCCCTGCCCGGCCCCTCACGCCCCTCACGCCCCTCAGCCCTGCCCGGCCCCTCACGCCCCTCAGCCCTGCCCGTCCCCTCACACCCCTCAGCCCTGCCCGTCCCCTCACGCCCCTCATCCCCTCAGTCCTGCCCGTCCCCTCACGCCCCTCACGCCCCTCAGCCCTGCCCGTCCCCTCACGCCCCTCACGCCCCTGACGCCGGCGGCGCGGGCGGGGCCGCGCGCGCACGTGACGGTCCCGGTGCCGCCGCCGCCATGGCCGCCCGCCTGCTGCCCGCTGTCAAGTGAGTCCCGCGGGCCCTCCCGGCCCGGCCCGCCCCGGCTCGGTTCGGCTCGGCTCTCCCGCACCCTCCGCACGGCGTTTCCCCCCGTGCTCCCCGCGCCTCAGTGCTCACCGCTGTCCCCGGCCCGTCCCCAGGCCCGCGGCCGGCCCTGGCCCTCGCTCTGCTCGCTTCGCTGCACGCCCTTGGCCTCGCCTCCCCCGCAGCTCCCCGTGTGTGTTTGTACACGCCGGGAGGGCCCTGCAGCTCTCTGTGGGCGGAATGGACGTGTAACAAAACCCGGGAGTAGCGCGGGGCTCGGAGCTGCTCGTACACCCACAGCGAGGCAGTGCGGAAGGGTATCCTTGGGAGCCAACAGTGCATTTTAGCAGAAAAATCGCTTTTCCCCGAAATGCGTGTGAATACACGACTTTAAAAATTGGTTCTCTCTTGTCAGCTCTATTGTATCTGTCGTATGTCCTACTACTGCAGTATTGCTGTCTGCCAAGTTTTGGGTTGTCCCCTTGTACAATAACTTTGGCTGTTTTTTTTAAAGGGAAAACATCCCTCTGTGAATCTGGGAAAGTCACTTACCTCCGATCTCTTATTTAGAATGGAAATGCCAATAAATGCCAAATATTCTCTTCCCGTCTTCCCTTTTGTAGGTTGCCATCACAGCAGTAAAACTGGTAACTGCACATCATGCAGGAAACTTTAAAAGCCTTGGCAATGCAAAACACCATGGCCAGGTGTTCACTGAGCATAACAAGATCTTGGTATCTGACAGATTTATTAGATAAATATCAGATTTATCAAGAAGAACCACATTATTAACATGGATGGCTTGCCCACTGCAGAATTCTTTAGTTGCTTTTAGCAGAGGAATATGCCAGTGATTCTCAGGCTTTAAAAAGTGGCACATGTTCTTGAGGAACTTGACCCTTTCTCATTTTTATATTGAAAACCATAATTGATAAAATGTGAATTAGAAGTAGTTTAAAGGGGCTGACAGGCAGTAGTTGTCCTGGGAAGGCAAGGAACATAGGTAGGTATTTTTCTGCTGATTTTTACCTCCAGTAAGACATGAGATTTCTTTACTGATACCCTCTTTGGCAGTCACAACCACTGAAAGAGATGCACTGATGGTCAGAACACGAACTGAACTGTTCTGCTTTCAATTCTTTCAGGTTTCTGATCAAAGGAGGCCTGGCTGGAGCTGCTGTGTACGTGGCACATGACCAGGGGCTGCTGGGCAGTGGCATTGAAGGTGCTGAAGCACTCAGAAAAGCTCAAGAAACGCTGCCTCCAACTATCCAAGAGTGGACAGATTACCTGGGCTGGGAGGTAAGGGCTGCTCAGGTGATCCCTGCAACACAAACACCTCTGAATCAGGAAGAGAAAATATAGGGGTGATATTCTGATTCTGGTGAGCCTGGCAGGAGTTTTACTGTTGAAACTGGATTTCACATTGCAAATATTTTGAAGAGGATTGAAATGGAAGGCGAATAAAATGCTAAATTTGGGGCAGAGACATTGCTCGCAGATGTTATTTCAAAGGAGAGGGGTAAGCAGCCTATGCAGGGTCGGGGTGGGGGGGATTGCAAACATGCTGTGGGAGGTATTTCACTATGTAGTTTTCTTCTGAAGGATCCTACTTGTTTTTAAGAAAAACAATGAAAATATCATCCTCCCAATTTTTCACATTGCTAAACATTCAAGTTGAATTTAAATTGCTTGAAGAGGACCCTCCTCTATGAATAGTTCTTAGTTTTTAAAATCCTCAGAAAATAAGAGACCTTTGCTTAAAGTTTGAGGAGATTTTTCATATTACAATTATAAACTAACAGAGACAGCCATGGAGACGATTTTTCAGGAGCACCTAAATAATATGTTCTACCTTTTGCACCTACTTTATATTGCAGGAAAGAGCAAAGCCCAGATTTAAGCATCATGTCTGGTCCCTTTTGAGGCTTGTGGAGAATAGGCACCCAAGTATTTTTGAGATCTGAGGTCAAGAGGTTTTGCCAAGATGATGTGAATTCCAAGTGAAACCCCTCAAGTGCTGATATTTTGCCTGTCTCTTTTTTTCTAGCTCCCACCCACTCCAAAAATTGACTTTTCCCTCTCTGCTTATTGGAATAAAGGTAAAATAACTGCTTACTAACTGATTCTGAGCCCAGTCTTTGGCTTTTCAGAAAGGATGAGCATTCCCATTGCTATTATAATTTTAGGCATTTTTGCTTGAATGCCAAAGCATGTTATAAATACCTAGTAATATATAGGTTTTATGGTGTAGCAAAGAATCTTGATGTAATTGTGGGGAAACACAATACACAAATAACTGTGACATGTCCAGAACTGTAACTGTGGCAAGGCCAGAAATAAAACAGGACTTAAAGAACTGAGCTCAGTCCTGTAATTGTCTTAGCTCATGTACAGACCCTGAAGTTGGAATTTCTGTGTCACAAATGCTCAGGGCTTAAAGAGATCTACAGTTTTAGAAATTGGGAAATTTGGCTTGAATGATGATCTTGGGGTAATTCTTCTCTGCTTTGCTTGCAGGGGTGCACAGAGTCATGTCTGCCTTGTCTGTAGCTCCCACCAGGGCCTGTGAATACACAGTGGAAGGCTGGAAATACATGAAGGATCTTGTGAAATGAACAGGATTCTCAGTTCACCCCTCTGGAGGGCAGCTTGGCCGTGTAAGGGCTACAATAAAAGACTTTGGTGGAACTTCCATTTGTATTTGGGTTGGTTTTAGCCTGCAGAGTGGAATAATTGCTTTGTCTTAGCACTGATCCAAGGCTCCAGGAATCACAGATAGTTGTGAAGTGATGGCCATGTGCTGAGAACAGCTTCTGTTCTAAAACTTAGAAATGAAATAGATTATTCTGAAGCTGAATTAATCTTGAAGGTGAATGCCATCTAATTCAAACCAAGCCAACAAGAGTTCAAAAAAAATTAAAAATCCAAGGTTACAGTAAAAGATGCTGTAAAAGATGGCCTAGGAGGATTATACAAGTACAGAGGAGAATAACTGATCAAAATTTATCTGCATGAAACCTTTTGTTAGCTTGCACTATGCCCCAATTGGCAGACTGTGCACATTTTCGTTTTAATGTGGATGAAAACTTTCACAAAGTCACTTTTCAGTCATAGCCCAGGCAAATGTAAGGAGCACCAGTGGCCTGGAGGGCACCACTTGTAAAATAAAAGTTACAAATTGATTCTGTGTTTTTAACCCTCTTTGATAGCATTGTTACAATTACAGAATGTGCCAAAACACAGCTGCAGAACAGGGAACAGCAGGAGAGAGAGATGGGTCCTTACAAAAGTCAGGAAGCAAATATAGAACATGAGGATGAAGAAGGATTTGCAGTTTTGTTTCCTTTTTTAACAAATAGAAAACATGATGAAGCCAACTGTCCAGAGATTTCAGAGGATTTGGCTAAGATGCAAATGGCTTAAGTTAATTCCTGAAGGATGGGTCCATCAGCAGCTCTTAAACCTGATGGTCCAGAGGAAGCTTCAAGCACAGCAAACCTTGAGCTGTGTCCTGCAGGTGCCAGATGTTTCACTGCACCCCAGAACTCAAATAACCTCTATTACTGCCCCATTTCTTCTCTAACATTTCCAATGTCCACTGCTCTTGAAGGAGCATAACTTTGGTTCCAGGTCTACTCCCCCTTCTCACCAGGCCAAACCTCCCACCAGAGATCCTGACATTCATCTAGAGTCTCCCTCTCTCTGGCTTTATTACAAACCAAATGGAACTACTTTGGGCAAGGCACACCATGTACAAACAGAACACTGCACCTCTTCTATGCTAAGAACTTAAGTTCTCCATGCTTTTCAGGATCTTCTGTACCACTTCTTTGCCCTTTGATGATTGCTCTCCAAATTTGTCATTGTAATATGCTTTTTCCATTAATGAATGAAAAAATATCTTCAGGCAACTCATAAAAAAACTCTTTCTCATTAGAGAAGAAATTTTTTCCATCAAAGATGGAAAAGCCCTAGTGACCCTAAAAATGAAAGTAACAGGAGTTTTTTTCCTCTTGGCATCATAAATGCCATTTTTAGGGTACGGTTAAGGTCATGTTGCTCCAGAGATGTCTGCATGAAGACAAATTATAACTTGGCTATGACAAAGCAACAGATCATTTGCACCAATCTCGATCGTGTCAATTCCTCAACACAAAATTATGCCAAAGCAGAGCCAGTGGCTGCTTCTAAGGAAATTATGGACTGCTAGGTAAAATTACTGGGCTATAAGACTGGTGGAATTTTGCACTACCCTGATCTATCAGAAGCTAAATAAAGTGATCCTGACAAGCACCTCTGTGCTGTCTCACAGAAGCTATGCTGCTATCACAGAATTTAACTCCTTTTTCAGACATTATGTGTCTGAAATGCTTTTCAGACATTATGTGCAATAGCACATGACACCAGATGAAAAGAATTCTTCACCACTTGCTCTACGAGCTCCTGTGGCAATTTTGCAGTGGCAGGGCATTCCAACTTTGGCAGCTGTGATCTACTAATGTTCTCTCATGGTGGCACATGGGCCATGGTTACACGGGTTGGTAACTGACAGCTGTGAAGTAAAACACAGTATTTCACTGTTTCTGGGAGTGCAAAGGGACACCTGTAAGGCATTTTGACGCTTCATCTTTGAAACAAAGTTACAGTTTAACACACAGCTGAAGAAATCTGTTTGACAGGGACTGCTGGAACAAAGCAAGTAACTGTAAACTGGCGTTTATTTATGGAAAATGGAATGCTTCATTAACAAACATTTTTAAATGGGATATGAACAACACCTTACAAAACAAATGAGTTCACATTGGATTGAGTGACATAATATGGCAGCAGCTTAAAAAAAATTACACTTACAGTAGCCCATAAGTTACAATTAATGGTAACCCTGGGTAACAGATTTGTTTCACTTGCCACCTTGCATTAAAAACCAAACACAATCAGTAGCGACGGTTGAAACGAGGATCGTTCGGTCTGTTTGCCCTTTCCTGGCCAGCAAATCCTTCTCCTTGCATTCCTCCTCCGTGCATGATCTGACTCTGATTGCCACCCTGCATGAAACTGCCACGCCTGGAAAGGGATTCAGACATTTTAGTATTCTCTCATGCTAGTACACTAAGGTTGCTAGAATGGGTGTTCTTTTTGTTTTCACTCTCCCATAAAATGTACTACATAAAAACCATGGGGATACTGAATTATTC